CACTAACTAACGTGTGTCAGTAGGGTGGCTCCTAATTGGACAAACTATCATTTGGTCAATTGATATTGACACATCATCAACATCGCAGCTTTACAAGCCTGGTGTTGTAGTGCTAGCCCTATTTTTCACCTATAAATAGAGCAATTTTCCACTACTCTAGAATTGGACTCTTTTGGTGGCTGGCTCTTAGTGACGTCTTTTCTTAATTCTTGCGGGTTGAGCTCCAAAATCTCCTCCCTCTAGCCTCTTGCTCTCTCATTATCAATCACCTCCTCTCTTGGTGGCCTTCAAGTGTGTCGTGTTTGGGGCTAGAGTGAGATTATTGGAGTTGTAGCAGAGCGCAACGAGTCAAAGATTGAATGCAAACCAACGCATACATGAGTATCTTGTAGCCTCTTCCTCTTTCATCATGTTTATGGGCCTAAGTTTGCTGTAGAGAATTAGGGTTAAAATTGTGTTAAAGGAAGCCTCCAGATTAAGAAACATTACTTCATTTCGCCATTATTCTAACAAATGAGTGCAGAAACCACATCATTAAACTTGGCGTCGGGACACTATATCCTTAGTGTCGCGGCTCTGTCCTCTTGGTTAACCTCACGTCGCAGCGTAACAACGCAATGCTCTCTGTTGGTTAGCCTCGCAACGCTATCTTCATAGTGCAGTGGCACTATACCTTACGTGTTGGCCAGGAGCCGCAGTGTTGCATCCTTAGAGCCTTGTTTAAGCCATTACACTCGTGAACTCGCAGTCAATCCACCATGCTTGCCACAGTGCAACTAGTTCGTTTGCCTTTTAGTAATGTTTGGCTACGTCGAGCGCATTCCTACAACCCATGTGGGTCAAGGGCTTAGGGGTTCTTCCATGGTCGTTTATCTTGCTCCTAACGTAGCACTGCAGTCTCCACCCTTGACTAACTCGGTCAGATATTTAGTAGATTCATCATTTGTCGACTAAGCCGCTATAAATTTTCTTCACATCTGACCCGATAAGCATTTATGACATGTACGTGTGTCCCTCCATTAATTAGGAAAAATACAAAAATGTATGCATTTGTTTTAGTGTGTTAGCACCAATTTCACTGTGTGTGGAGATGGTGTCTTGTGCTGCAACACTGCCCATAAAGCCACAACACCTCCCCTTTTGTTTCAAAATAAAACGATTGACATCAAAATATCGTGTAAGCAGTTATGTGATGTTGTCCTTTTAATATGTGTGTTTGCATGTAATATTTGTGCATGTAAAATCAATTAGGACTGTTTGGTGGGGTGGCATTGCTTATTCCTATAGTGGTTTTGCTTCCCCAGTCACACTCATTATTATGTTTGCTAGTATCGTGTGCTTGCCTTTTTTATATATGTATGCGTGTGCTACATGCCATAGCATGTCGGACCTTCGTGCGCCTGTTCGTGTTCTAGTGTTGAACTCATACAACACTTGATTTACATTATGCACATTTGTATGCATTGTGTGACTTGCCTCTTCTAGGTAACTCTACATATCATTTCATATAGGTCTAGGTTATGAGTTGGCATGATTAATAGCGGGATTGTATTAAACCCTAAAGTTGACCTATGGTGATAATATAAAAATGAACATTATACGCAAGCTTGTCTATACGGACAATGTGAATTGATCAATTATTACCAAATCTTGTAAGATCATTACAAGAACATAGATAAGCTAACATTTGTCATTTGCATGACAAGTATTTGTTCGTTTGGATATTTAGGATAGGGCCAGACATGGTGATCCTATCAAGGTCTTACAGTTATGCCCTAGCCACACTACACCTCACATTAGATGATATGATTTGGCAGTAGCTTATAAATGCTTGTTTAATTTAAGGTAAGGGTGTAGTAAACTTTGTTTAAGCGTAGCCATCATTTTTTATTAGTTTGTGATCTACCTATTTCATTTTTTTTCTTTTGCCTTGTTTTGTGTTTTTACTTGGTGTGATGTGTGCACACTAGTATATATAGAGTAGTTCTACTATAAAAAGCCATGTCCAAATGTGGAGCATTAAAATTTAAAAGTGATAAAAATGCCTTTTCAGCATGTATTGATTACTTAACTCTCATCCTGTTGGACATGATTCATTATACAATTGCATGTTATGCATCATGCTAATAATCTATTTTGTAGAAAAACCAAGTTATATTTTTTAAAATTTTTCGATATACTTGTAGAGCCTAGGTTGAGTTTACAAAAATAAGGTACGAGCACAAGTCTCGGAAAAGTATTGCTTGAGATCGTGTGGAGAGAACCAAGAAATATATGCTTGTGCATCATATCAGTGCATCATATCATAATAATAGATTTTTTTTTTTTGTATAGGCATAGAATCAAACATATATATACATCGCTTGACCATAATTTTTATTTTTTTGAGATATGTTATCAACCAAGCAGCATCCGATCTTTATTTATTATTTTATTATGGTGTGTTTACTTTTTTCGTGGTGTGCTACATTTTTGCTTTTAATATAGTTTATGATGTGTGGGCTCACGTTTGCATGTATGCTCCTAGGATAAAATCCTTCTTTTCAAAAATCATAAATTTAAAAGATTTATCCTAATAAAATATAGATTTAAAATTGACCAATTTTCTGTATAAAAAAGATTTACTTTCTTGCATGGCTCTTTGTAACATGTTTAAAATGAAATTGCATTGCATTGTTATCACCCAAGTTATACCTAATAGAGCCTCTATTATTAGGGGTTTAGATAACTTTGCATCATAAGCATATCCAACGAAGAAGTATCATTGCTTCTCCTACCTGACTAACCTCGCAATATTTATTCGCTTAGATAGTCATCAACTACACATAGGGTGTTAGAAATTTTCCCGACCCATAAGGAATTATAAGTCTTTTGTGGGGTGGTTTGCCTTTTTGAGCTAAGAAATTTATTCTCTCCACACTATCGACTTTCTTGTCATACTCCAGGCAGGTATAAGCCTTATTCTCAGTTTTTTCATTCTAATAGAGTCATAGTATCTTAGACTTTTCATTTCTTTGACTTTAGGTCCGTCGAACTACCTTGACCGATGCAACATATGAGTTGTTGACAAAAAGTTCCCCAATCATATACTTCAACCAACTCCACAATCAATTATGTTGACAAAAAGTTCCCCAATCATATACTTCAACCAACTCCACAATCAATCAGATTTAGGCTCTTAAAAGCCTAAGATATTGGATGCATGAAGTCCTGACTAGGTTATTTCTACGTGTCTAAGAATTACTTACCTACCCTTTGATATACCCATGGGCCCTTGTCAAATCCCCTTGACTTATTTTGTGGTCATTTTGTAAGCCATCTTTTATGAAGGAGTGACTACTTATTGTGTTATAGTGATTCACCCTCTATTTAGCAAATTAGTATAACCTCGACTTCAGGAGATTTCATTTATTAGAATGACAAAAAATCCTGCTTAATATTATATTATTATGTTGTATTTATATTATTATGTTGTATTAATGCAAGCATAATACTTTTTATTAAGAGCCTTCTTGGGTATCCCCAAGGGTATAATTGACTACGGAAATACGTTGCCGTGACATTTCTTTGAACCTATAATAGAATAAATTTAATTTTGTTCAAGTTCTAATATGGAAGTCACAATAGGGTTTTTCTCGTATCTCTGTTCAGGTCAAGCATAGTCTGATTTACTTCAGATCATTGCACTTCAACTTATTTTACGTTGATTGTCTTATGGGACGCCTTCATATCCATCTTTTTGCCTCTTAAAAATTGCTCAATTTAATTCATGCATTTTCTTGCTTCGTTTCTATACCAGAATAAATACTGTTTGAGAAGGGGATATAAGGAAAACACCAAAAGGGCGCAGCAATGTGATTGGAGCTTGATGCAGATGGTTGGAATGTAAGAGGTAAATATGGAGACAGATTTGCGGTGAATTTATTATTATTATTATTATTTGCTCAAAGACACGGGATGTGGTTGTAAAGATGAAAACAAAGGTTAAATTCGAACGAAGAAGAAGCATCCAGCCTCAATGTGGTCAACAAAAGCACCATTTTATAAAAACCAAAACAATTATAGAAAAAGCAGAAAAAATAATGCATTAAAAGGTTAGCTAGGCAATTTGTAGCCTGCCTTAAGCTTCAGGTAGCAAGGGAGGAAGACCTGAGGTAATTGTAGAGCAAGAGGGTTCATTGTCTTCAACATTGTTGTTTGATGCCATGAAAAGAGTAATTTATAGCAAACAAGAACCTAAAGACACTAATAAACTAAAATAACAATCTGACAGACTTCACTACCTAATATTCATGAAAACACCCATATACATTCATTCTTCAGTCATGAAGTTTGAAGTCAAATAATCACTACCGTTGCATAACTTTCATGATGCCAAATGTTTTCCATCAATGCTTACACTCACTATATGAGACAAACTTTCGGACTCAATGTACAGATAACCGCAGTCAATTCTGAAATATCCTGAGTAATAAGCTGCAACTACTATAAAAGAAAAAACAAGAGTTAATTTCAGTCTAAAAATGGGCGGAAGTAGAACAAGTCAGTTAGGGTTAGCGAAATAACATCACAAATAGAAAGGTCTATCCAATTATACCAGTTCATACTCGACATGGATGGTGAAATGGATCCCCTTTACCAAATCAGCTCATGAATCGATTCATTACGAAAATACTCGACTGCGCAGTCCGCTAACCACCAAAAGCAGGTTGATTACCTTGAAGAATGTGCCAAGCTCACGAGTCCATCCAATGTTCGAAAAGGTCCCCGACATTCGACATGTTGAACCCACGGTGAACCAGAACAAAAATACAAAACCTACCTACAGCAACCGACGTTTTGCCACGTGGAAGAAATCCAACGGGTTATTGCTACCAACCTAACAAAGCCCACAAACGCCGACTCTTTTTCCACAGCATTCCCAATTATCAATGGAATTCCATTCTACAACAGACCCTACTCTGCATTTTTCACGGAATTTGAAGAGTGTAAATTCTCACCTTGATCTCCGGATCGGTTGAATCATCTAGCACCTGAACGATAAGCCGATCCGATGGCCACGAGAGCCCGCACGTCGCCCCAATTGAGAGCTTATACACCTGCTCCCCATTTCGCCAAACCAAATCAATCTCCATCGCGTAAACGATCAAGAGATGGGGAGTTGGGGGAAGGGAAATACCTCTTTCTCATTATACATAGGTATTTGAACAAGAACCATGGGGTAGTCAGAGCTACCGGTCTCCAAATCGCCGCTTATCGCCTCCCATTTGTACCGTTTCTCTGGCTTCAAGCGAAACAGCTTGACTGCGAGGCTCACGAATGACATGAAAACCACTTCCGCAAGCAGCATCACCGAGAGCACTAGACTCAACGCCACAGCAGCCCTCATCGCCGGTGCTATAACCGCCTTACGAAAAGCAACCCACACCGCACGATACCGGCTCGGAAGCATCCTATCCGCCGACACGACCATCGACTGCACTCCCCGAGAAATCGATACGGCGAGGAAAAGAACCCCATTAGCCGCCGGCGATTCACGGCCGCTGTCTCCAGCGGGGGCGGCGGCGGCGGAGACGAGGAGCACGAGGAATGCAGGTCCCAATGTCCTCCCCTCCATCTCCCAGGAAGCTTTCTGTTTCTCTAGGCGCTCTACGTTCTGGATCGAATCGGTTGGCCGTCCGGCCCCGTGTGGTATAAAAGGCGTGGGAATCGACGGGTTCCTCTCTGCTCTGAAAAAATTTACACGCACCGAAAGCGAACCCTGGAGACCACCCAGCCACTACCACGTGATGGCGGCTGATAGTAATATTGGGGAAAATGTGGAGTTTTTTTTTTTACTATTTTAAAGCAAAATTTTGACATGCAACTCAAAATTGATCGCTTCAATTATAATTTAAAAAATTTTATTTAAGTAATTATATATTATAATACAATAATGATTTTAAATTTCCTTTGCACTAAATTCGATATTTTCACTTACTTTTTTTTTTGGTATTTTTTTAATTATAGTTATTTGTATGGATAAATTTAAAATTTAAATTTCATTTTTTAATTCATTAAAATAATCAGAAGTCATGTACAATTAGTATCATACTTCAATAATAAAAATTTAAATAAAATTGGTATGTGCTAGTGAATTTGCGGCGGTAGAGTATTGAATTATCGTTTTAGCGTTGCGCGAGGATTCAACACACACTCAGATGAAAAAGGATCAAGCTGTGATAACACCAGAAGTTTTTACGTGGAAAACCCGTAAAGAGGAAAAACCACGAGGTCTGACCCAGTTGTAAAAATCCACTATAAGTTGATGATTACAAGTGTCTCTTGTCCCACAGGCGGGAAA